CTGACTAGCCATCATCAGCCTCAGTTAGTTTTGATTCATTCTTTTATGCATCTCCTTATAGGACAAAATCAATTTTATATATTGTATAAATATAGGTAGAATCATAGGGAAACATTCTGGAAGAACATATCAGTTTATACTTGGAAACTATTTCCTGACATTTCTTTATTTGCTTTATTCTCTATCTTTCATCTCTTGCAAGCCCTCAGCTTAGGCTCTTATTCAAACTGTTATGAACATTAATCTAGCGCTTTGACTTTAAATCTGGAAATCAAAATGCTGAGTGCATATTGTGAATCTGTGCAGGTTCCCTAGGGGGAACTTGCTTGCAACGAGGGCAGGGCTCATGATTTACTTAAAATGTGTTACTTTTAGGCAGTTTATCTTCATGCAGCTGTAGCTGTTAGGCATAGTTGAATTATATTGGTTTACAGCAAAATAAATTATGAGAAAATGTATTTCTTAGATAAAGGTTTTTTTAAAAAAAAACCTACTATGAATAGAGATATGAGCCTCTTGAAGTGGGATATATCATAGTTAAACAATGTTATTGGAGTTTTCCATATTGGAGCTTTCTGTATTGCCTTTCATTTTTATTTAAAAATGAACTTTTAAAACCTCTCCATGTTGCACAGAAGCGTAAGAAATAGTACATAATGTATCAAAATAATGAAATGTATTCTATAGCAGAATAAAAACATTGGGTACTTCTACTAATGCTTCATGGATAGAATTCCTCACAGTTTCTTTGTCTGTTGCAACCATATGTTCCATTGGGCAGCTTCCCACAGATTCCCTTCATCCTCAGGAACAGCCTTTGGGGGAGATATGGGAATGCAGCTGGCATAGTCCTGGTAGGTAATCAAAGCATTTGTCATTGTTTTTTGTGAGCAACTGGGGGGAAAAAAGCAATCAAATGTTCCAAACGCCTGAAATGTAAGTCCAGAAACCCAAAGTAAAACTTTCAGAAATAATCATAAAAAATAGAATAATTGTTCCTTTATATGGATGAAGGTTTTTTATATCGATTTCAAGAGGACTTTGATGTGATGGGTGCAAGGTAACAGAAAGTCAGGATTAAAAATAAACTAGAAGTAGGGACGCAGATAGAGGAACACAGTGCAAGATCCTGTAACTTACTCTTAAATAATGCAGTAACATTATATACAACAAGAAAACCAAGTACTGTAATTAGTTTTTCTCAGTCCTAGAATTCTTTCAGCCGTCAGGTGGGATAAATGTGAGTAATTGGGGTTTAAGTGTTATTGTAACCTCTATGTGCCCTTACAATGGCACTGCAAAAAGTCAACTCGTATGTAGTTCATTAAAAAGGGATGGGAGAGGTTGATTGTGATTTGTTTGCTCTATGCCTATCATAGATTTATCCAAAGTATAATAAATTACCTGTGAATGGTTGATACCCTAACCCCAGTATTTTAAAAGTAAGATTAGAATAAATGTATAACATGCAACTGGAGGAAGTGACATTTAATTTCATTGCTTTATTTTATAAAGGCCATCAATTTGGACTGAGGAAAGATATAGATTTCTATTTAATATTTTAAGATGTATCTCTCTCCACTGCTCCACAGTTCTAAAAGTCCTGGGAGAAATATGGCAAAACCTCCTCATTGCAATTATGGCCATGTAGTGCAGTAAAAGCATTGGAGTTGGAGGCAAGTTAGGTCATCAAGTCAAACCCACTGCTCAGTTCAACAAACCAATGTAGTTTTTTCTGGGTTTTCTTTCTTTGAACACAGAGGAAAGCCCACCTCTTCTCTTGGTAATTGGTTTCACTGTCAAACTATTATTCCAGTTAGGAAGGTTTTTTTAAAAAAAAAAAAAAAATTCAAATAAGATCTGCCTTCTTCCAACTTTAATCCATTATTTCATGTTCTGCACACTTGAAAAGTGCAGAACAGATCTTGACCTTGTGCTGTGTGATGTTCTTTCATGTATTTGAAGGGTGGTGTCATATCTCCTCTCAGTCTTCTGTTGTCAAAGCTAAATATTCCCATTTCACTCGGTCTCTTTTCATAGGACTTCAGTTTCTAATCTCTTGTTTTTGTTTCCGTTCTCTGAATCTGATCCAGTTTCAATACTTTTTCAAATGCAGCGTCAAGAACTAGCGAAACATTGTTCATCCAGAGTCAGAACATGTATCACTGGTAACATCCTCTCTGCTCTGTGAAGTCCCATAATTGCATCTCTGGAGATCTGCAGAGAATTTGTACTGGTATTTTGCAGGGAGAAAAGTCCATTATGCAAATAGGAACCAACTGCATATCTTTAGCTTTAACTCATGAGTTAACCCAACATTCACTGTTGAGTATAGATATGGTGATAATTCTCCCCCCCACACACACACACCTTCAAGTCAGGTTTGGCTTCTTTCCATTGCTTGGACAAGTCCCTATGGCTTTCTTGGCAAGATGTCAGATGGTTTGGTATTGCCTTCATTGTAAGGCTGAGACAGAGTGACTGGCCCAAGGTCACCAAGCTGGCTTTGTGCCTAAATGGGACCAGAACCCATGGTCTCTAGCCTGGTGCCTTAATCACTACATCAGACTGGATCTCCATGAAGGGAATTATTCATATATAAGTGCACATCTCCTCTGAGGAGTATATTTTCCTAGCACATACGTGTTGATGTTTATGCAAATTTAGCTGTTGCAATTTTTATAATTAATTTGTGATAGAGTCTTTGAAAAATGTTGGAATAATTACTATTATAATTCATTTGATTTTAATTTTGTAGAATCTTATTTTGTATTTTTAAGATGAACTGCAGTATACTAGTAAGATCTAATCGCATTTTTAATATGCCAGTAGCCATTTTCTGATTATGGTTATATCATTATAGCATGAATTTATTTGAATCAAATTAATATTGAAAACATAGAAAGGACAAGAAAGCAAAACTATGTTTGGATGAGTAAATTTAATTTACTATTAGGAGTATGTGCAAGCTCCATACATCTAAATCCAATTCCTAACAAAATAATAATATATGGTTAATTTAAATTCTTGTTTCATGACCATCAATAAACTGTAGTGGATAATCAAAGTGGATATGAACTTGTCATTTTTAATTTTTAAACTCTAGCTTCTTTGGAAAGACACCACTGAAAGTCCCAAATAAGACCTAAGAGCCATGGTGGCACAATGGTTAGAATCCAATATTGTAGACTGACTCTGCCAATTGCCAGGAGTTCGATCCTAACCAGCTCAAGGTTGACTCAGCCTTCCATCCTTCCGAGGCCAGTAAAATGAGGACCCAGATTTTTAGGGGCAATATGCTGACTCTGTAAACCGCTTAGAGAGGGCTGTAAAGCACTGTGAAGTGGTATACAAGCAGGGGTGGGATTTTACTGGTTCTGTCCAGTTCTGTAGAACTGGTTGCTCTGAAAAGCCGCAAACGGAGAGCATACATAGAACCGGTTCTATGTCTGCTGCTGTTTTGGCCCACCCACCTGCCTGGGCTGTTACCTGACCTTTATTTCCTGCGTTTTCAACCGCAGCTGCTTTGCGCGACACAGCTGCCGTTGAAAAAGCAGGAAAAAAGTGCTTTTTCAACTGCTGAGCACCTGTGTGCAGCGCTGCTCAGCTGTCCAGGCAGCTAGATGACGACGGTATATACACACGCACACACGCAAAGCGCTCATGTACGCGCAAAATGTAAAACCACCGAACCGGTAGTTACACCGATCAGATCCCACCCCTGTATACAAGTCTAAGTGATATTGCTAAATGATAAATCTCATGTGAAGGGCAGAACAAAGGGGCAGCCAATGGTCTGCATGAAAATACCTGGAGTTGTATCTATCCGAGATGATTAAAACATACCTTTAATGGTGCACGTTAAATGGTACAAGAAAAAATATTAAATTATGGATTCCATCAGTCAGAAATCAATGGTTCATATAGCACATCATAATTGTATTGGTAACAAATCCTGAACGAATTCAGTATAGAAGTGTTGCGAAGTTTCAGATAGCAACAATGATTAGAAACAGGAAAATCAGTTTTGGAATATTTGTTCATGTTAAAAAAAACAGCAAAATAGCATATAATGGAAAATTGTGATCTACTTAAAATGTCTAAATTATAAATCCATTGCTATTAAAAACAGCTATAATAATGATAAAAATAGAGTTTGTAGATATGAATATATATGAGTATGTAGATATGCACATTTTTTCTGTTATTTTCCTCTAAACATACTGACTTCTGTTGAATTACTAAATTCCATACAAAAAGTAAATAGAAACAGCTCGTTCCTCAGTTTAAGAAACACTATGGATAATTTAATTGCCTATAGAAAGGAACATATATTGTCATTCACTTTTTGTGAAATGAGAAAACTTTAAAAATACTTGTGTCATTTACTACATATTTGAATAATATTAGCTGATATGTATGTTATTGAATATTGCACTGTGCTTTGCATTGCTTTTACCTAATGTGAGCTTCCCAGAGTTTCTGTGTGAGGTGGTTAGCTATATAAATCAAATAAAAAGGAAGCGATGATTTGCTGTAACTGTATTATATGTGCCACCAACAAAAACTAGGATATTATTATTTTCCAAACTCAAAACAAAAATAAAAACTTTTGATGTGAACCATATTGTATAATTTGCTTATTGACTTGGAATAAAAAATGAAAAAAAAAAACCTGTGAACAGTGGTTAAAAAAGAGCAGTTACATTACTTATGTAAACTATTGTCTGGTAAGATATTCCCATTGCTAACGATGCATCCTTAAGGAGTTTTATCCTTGTGTAATTGCTGTGACTCTTATATGAACATATTTCTGTGGAACTAAGTTATATAATGTTTGAACCTAATCTGCTGTTTAAAAATTAAACTTGTTTAAATATGTAAGCAGATTTCATTTCAGAATGAAGACTGTTTGAAACTGCACCAGCCAAGAGATTTTCAAAATTATTCATGCAGTGGACTAAAACATTGTTTTTTTCATTTTCCTCTCTAATCAATAGGGCAACCCAATGGATCCAATGGTAATGAAAAGACCTCAGTTGTTTGCAGTCGGCAACAGCCCGCATGCTCAGTCCCAGCCCAGCAGTCCATATCCAGGGCAGTCATATGGGGCACCAGGACCCCAGCGTTTTCCAATGGCAATGCAGACCCGGACTCCTGGTTCCATGGGAGGAATGCAATATCCACAGCAACAGGTTTGTTACCTTCCTTCCTGATTGTCTGCTTTTGTTCTGTAAAGTGATACTTAGTCCACAATATCTCTCTCAGCATATCCTTCATTTAGAAGTGGGAAATAGAAATAGAAACCTAATTTGTAATTTATTAGTTTTCTTTTTAGATTTTATTTTATTTTGTCAGTGATGAACGTATCCATTTAAAAAGAGGATATATTATTCATCAAATGCATTCTCTGGATTTGCGATCTTTTTCATTTGTTCAGCTGCCATAAGTCATTTCTTCACCATAAATAATAATACTGAAGAGGGCAGATTGATTGAAATGAATATACTATTGGTCAGCACAACAACTATTGCAATTTACAATAAAGTTCTTGGAAGACATAAAAAATAGTACATGCTTTACATGTGTATTCATTACAGCATCCTTCTTTCTCCCTCCAGCTCAAACAGCAAGGAGGGGTTTTCTTGTGTCCAAACAAGAAGGATGTAGATGTGTGGTTTCATTTTAATCTAGGGTTAGAGTTTTGCAGTTATTGTCAATTTTTTCTTTCCCGTTGTCTCAAGAAGGTCAATTACTTACATTTTCATCGTATGATAGCCTGGATAAAACCATTTGTGTTTTTGAAATGGCAGAATAGATAAAAGCTATCAAAAGATTAGAGAATGTTGGTAAATCTCTGATTAAGCTGTTTATTGAAGACTGTGCTTTTCACAAATTCATTTTTTTTAGAAAAGAACACTGTCTGCATAGGGCTAAATAGAATTACTTTTAAAAAATTTCTTGATGTTAAATATGGCAAACATGGAAAATAATGAACAGCCCAGCAGGTACATTTATTGCATTGGCATGGAATATTCAATAATTAGCTGTGCATTCAGAGTTTTGTTGACTACGCGTGATTCATAAATTTCTTAACATACAATTTGCTTGAGGTTTAGATTGCTAAGAGTATAGTAGTAAAGGTGACTACTTTGTGAGATGGGTAGCTTCATTAAACAATGGCAAGAAATTTATTTTGGTGTTTTTTAATAGTGCAATTGCAAGTGAATGATTTTAAAAGACAGTAACCTCGCTGTTATTTGAAAACAAAGAGAAAGGCAGCATTTATTTCTTAATTGAATTAAAGTTACTACTGGTTTATCCCACAATGCTCTTTATTTTAGAAAGGAGTATTGCTATTTTCTATCTTAAGCGTAGTGTTGTTGTTTTTTACTTGTGGAAAAAGACTATTAAAAAAAATCTGTTAGAAGGCAGTGATTTGATGCAGCAATTGGCCACTGTCCCTATCTGTCTTTTTGCAGCATAAGAATAATTGGATGAGAAATATGGTTATGAGTACTAATACTCTTTGGGGAAGTAGTAGAAAGATAATTACAACATTGAATTTTTATTAAATGGACATCAACACCTAGGGATAATTTTGTTTGGACAGGCTCCAGAGTTTCATATGTTTAGCTTTTAATCCAGTTCTTGTCTTTAGTGCTTATATCTTATATGTCAAAATGAAAAATAAACAGTGTTAAAATTTCAGAATGCAGACCTGCCAATGATATCTTAAGTGGAGATAGTTGTCTATAAGGAAAACTAAGCTGGAAATTGCTTTAAGAATTTTGTTCTTGGGTTTTTTTTATTATGTGCAGATATTGTTATGTGGGATTTATAAACGAATTCAACTTTTTAAAGAAAAAAACCAGATATGTGTGTATTTATTTATACTCAACAGATTCTAAGTAGCTTGCAGTAATAAAACTATATGGACTTCATACTCAAAAAGTGGGTATTTGTAGGATTCCCTCCCAACTAAATTCCATTGGGTGAGCAGATTTCATCTGAAGCATCTAGTTCATAAAGATAAGGAGACCCCATACCACAGCAGTCCCCAACTTATATGGCTTGGAAGCCAGATGGGGGGAGGGAGGGAGAGGGAAACTGGCCTGTGCAAGTGGTGGGTTGATACATGTGTACATGCACTGGTCCGCCGCTTGTGTGACTTGAGCTGCGTGTGTGGCAAACCTGTCACTTGTGCGACTTGAGCTACACACATGTATCCGCCAGTAGCCACTTGGGTAGCTCATTTCCAAACTGGCCATGGCCTGGTAGTGGGCTGCAGGTTGATGACCCCTGCTATACCACATAGGATTCTATAAGGCATTCACTTTGAATGTGGTTTGGAAGCTTATTGGCAGCCAATATAGCTTCTGCAGAATAGGTATTATTCTATTATATTTTACTTGGCATACAAAGGAACTTGCCTAAATCAAGGGTTTTCAGCAATCTGAAACTTGGGTTAAGATTGAAGGTTTGAAATGAGAATAGAAATTAATTTTTTTCTCTCCCTATCCTTGACTGCCTAACCCACATCATATTTTGTTGTGGGGATAAAATGAAGGGAGATATTGAGCTTTGAGCTTCTGCAGTCAGGGAGGATATAAATCTAGCATATAAAATTCAGAAGATGTGGAAGATATGCGGAATGTGGAGCAAAGAAGGATTATGACAAAACTGAATGGAATTTGAAGTCTTTCATTTTACACATATGTAGTGTATTTTGAAGTGTCAGAAAACTGCTTTTTTATTGTATATTCTGTAGCCATATGAATATGTGCTTTTCAAATCAAATGTTGGGGTTTTTTGTGTGTATTTGGCATATTTGTAGAAAAAAGTCCCACAATTCTTTATTTGTGATATGGAAGCATGCTTAGAAAGTGCTGTTATCAGCATTTAATAAGGATACCAAACATTTGTGAGCCTACTTAATAGAATTTGACATATTGCCCAATACTATCCATCTGCTTAAAGAAAGGCATGCTGATTTTCAGTTTTGAATGTTTTCTGTGAAATGACAATGGTTACTTTCAAATCAAAAATATTGGTTTACTCTTCCGAGTATAATCCAAAATAAAGATGTAATAAAAGCAGATCTCATTAACATATTTAAAAATTAATTAGTTATTTCAAAACATACACATTTGTTAATTTTTTACCTCTGGAAATCCAATCATTCTTAAAAATTAGCAAAATGATTTCTAATTTGTTATAGATTGAAAAACTATAAAAAAATTGCAGGTGTCTGAATCTTTTGTAGTTGCATAAAAATAAATGAATACTGTATATACACTTTGCAAGGATACATCTCCTAATTTTGTAATTTTGGGCTAAAGGATGTATAACCCCAATAACAACTATCTATTCTGAACAGTTGGAAAGCTGGTGACAAGGCAATCTAGATTGACAATATGGTAGGATTGGGGATTTTTCGAAGTACTTCCATGTTGACCATATTCTGAAAAAAAGACTTAAATCCAAATCTAAGAAACAGAAATGGTAGTTTAAGAGTTAAGCTCCAGTAGGAAAGTTAGAACACACAGTAAATCATCAAGCAAAAATTCTGATTTAACTCACTGATATGATTTCAATCATCTTTTCCACTGATAGTGATTTAAACAGAGATTTTGATCACTAAAACACATTCATTCAGAACACAGTGCAACATATTTATATAATCTTTAGGATTACAACTGTCTTAGCCTGTGTGTTTGTTGTCTTAATTCAGTAAAAATAATAAATGGGGATTTCAAAAAGGGAATGATTTTCACAAGATGCAATACTGAAATAGGAGTCCATGCTGGTAGGTTGCACAGTGTGTGTGAACATAACACAACCTTTTATTCATTCTTATGAGATTGTATCATTTCCACAATGTTCAGATAGTATTTAATTTTAAAGTCTCTCTTTAATAAGAAAGAAATTTAATATTTAATGTATTTTTTTAAAAAAATCAGTTCCTTAGGATCTGGTTTATGCTGATGCTGCTTTAATAGAATACAGAAAGATGCTTTTTGTACAGCCCAAACACCACATCCTGAATTGGAGGCGAGGGATTGCTGCAACCATGCAGATTGTCTACTTAAAGATATCTGCCTTAGCAAGTCAAAGGTTCATCATAATGAAAAATGAGGCTATACAATAAGAAATAATGTGATTATTGGACAAGACTTTTTAAAAGGCCACCTTAAGAATTGTGCAATCATAGATTACACATAATCACAGAATTACCCCATTTGTTCCATGGCTTATGCAAAAGCCTGAATTTACACAGCCTTATAAATTTTTATGTATAAGATTCTCTAAGTAGGGGTATGTTACTAATGCTGTCTGAACTGCTGGGAAATGTTTAGTGTTTCCCCCTTTCTGTGTGATGTTAAGCCTCATTGACTAAATTGAAAAAGGCTGCTCATAGCAGGATAAGGTTTTATGTTGTATTGTCTCCTTTGGAATTATCCTTTCCATTAAGTATAATTCGCTCTATGGAGGGAGGTGAGCATAGATTACGGATAATCACAGAATCAAATTTGACACAAGAAAGAAACTTTATGGTAGCTTAGCTCTACATCTTAACTGTGGTCATTGACAATGTTTACTGAATAAAATCCCAAAAGCAGTACAATTGAATTATTATGGAAACTAGAAACAGTACAATGATTTCTTCCTCTAAACAGATGTAGGGAATTGTCGGTTAAAAAGAAAGTGCTTGCTGTCTTGAGAGAGTAATATTGTTTGAATTAGATGACACAATAGTATCAGGAAATAGCATCAGGGCGACAGCTGACACTTGTGTCTTTCTATATACATTGGAGTAAATCGGTTGTTGAAATTATTCCATTAAATATCTACCAAAAACTAAGTCATTGTGTTTATTAAAAAATTGTGATCAGTTGCAAACAGAAATCTGCACAGTACATATGACAGCAGAAGAACCATTAATGGATACCATCAGGACCTGCAATTGCTAAACTGATTTCCTTCGGATTTCCTCCCTTCCTTTTCAGATGAGCAGAATTAATATGTTAACATTCTGTGCAGATCCCGGCCTGGTAATTAAGTATACAATTAGTAGCAGTAAGTCAGAGTTAGCATATATCTTGCAAAGTTATCATGATAGATGCATTTTTGTCACTCAATTTTATATCCATTTGAGAAGGCAAGAACAACTTCAGTGGAAATATGTTTGGGT